ACATGTATATAAACATATATGTATATATGTAAAAAAAATATTTCCCTCTGTGGTGCGGTACTCTTAGAGTATGGGTGGTGTAAGGTATTCGCAGCCCCGCAGTCCAGGAATAGGTTCACTGGTGGGTGAGGCTTGGCCCAAGCATGGGGAGAGCAGCCATGAGTGTGGCAGCAGTAGAGTTCTGGAGGTTTTTGGCTGTCGGGGCAGGGTCCCTTGGGGTGGGGAGGGGTCTCACCTGTTCCCCTCCGGGACACCCCAGATGTCATTCATTCTTAAAGGTGGTTGATTCACTTTAGAAAGACTTGATACATCTGTGTATGCAAAAGAAAAACGAAAGCAGTGAGTGGGATATTGCATGTGCGTGCACTCGCATTATTTTATACTGTAACAGAGGCTGAGCAGTCCCAGGTCCACAAGAGATACAGTGACATGGGCCAGTTTGAATTCCAAGGTCTGAGACACAGAGAAACCTGAGTCTGAAGGCAGAAGAGCAATGTTCCCACTTTGAAGATAGATGAAAACTTGTTTTATTTTTCCAGTTTTCAGTTTTTTTTAAAATTTATTTAATTTTTATTAGTGAAACAGCATGAGGTACAGTTGTAGACTTACAAATTTTTGTGCTTTTGGAAGCCAGCCACACATGCTAGGGGAAAAGGGAGATCAGATAGAGAAGGGAGCACCAAATAAAGGGTGTCGGGAGGATCCTCCCAGGATGGGAGAAGCATGCTGAAAGTAGACGATAGACCAAACATGATTGCCACTCAATGCCTCTTTTGCAAACCACAGCACCCAAAAGGAGAGAGAGAACAAAAGGGAATGCCCTGCCACAGAGGCAGGGTGGAGTGAGGGGATGAGGGGTGGGAGGGATACTGGGACCCGTGGTGGTGTATTATTGAAAACTTGGTTCTTAATCAAGCATTCATTCTGCTAAGGCCCCACCTCCTGAGGGAGAGCAGTGTTCTACTTGCTGTATCAGTCCTAAGATTAACCTCATCTAAGTCTCATGCTCAGGTGGACACATCCACCATCCTATTTGGACCCACGTAACCAGTCAGAATAATGTGACTCCCCCACAGAGACGACCTCTTTCCTATAAGAGCTGCAGTCTAAACAGAATTCCCGAGAAGAGGGATCACCACATTTGAGAACTCAGTGAAATGGAATATTTTCTTGTCTTGTCTTCCCTCCCTCCCACAGAGGAGACATGCTGGCAATCATCTTCTGGACTTTTCACTCTTCTCCACGCTGTCACTGCTCAATTCCAAACCTTATGCAGAATTTGAAGTTGGGAAGGGAATTGTTGAGGCAGAGTCCTGGAGGAGGTGCTCATTTGGACTCATCTGTTCCTTCGTGGCCATTTCAGCATGATCCCATTTCCTGTTTCCATGGGAGGCAGTTGCCTTCTCCAGGGTTTGCACCCCCTTCCTACACCCTGGTGAAGGGAGCTCATCATTGATGCCTCTTTTTTTTTTTCTTTTGGTGGTGGTGGTGGCAGGGCTTCATACCCATTGTTGTCAAGGTTTACTTCTGACTTTGTGCTCAGGAGACCATATGTGGTGCCAGGATGAAAGTGGGGCCAGCTGCATGCAAGCCAAATGCTTCACCTCGTCCTATCTCTGGCCCTCAGAGGCGCCTCTTTTATTGCCCTAACTCCTCCCTCCTCTGCTCAGTTACCAGTTTGTATGATTCTGTGGCCTTTTTGTTCAGTTTTGGTTTGGGGGGCCACACCTGGTAGTTCTCAGGGCCCACTCCCAACTCTGTACTCGGGGTTCACTCCTGTTGGTGCTTTTGGGGGACCATAGGGGCTCTGGGAGACAAACCTGGGTCAGCTGCTTGTGAGGCAAGTACCCTGCCCGCTGTCCTGATTCTTAGTCCGTAGCCCTCTCTGTTCCTGGCTTCCACTGTATTTCTGACTCCACATTTCACAGTAAACCTGACATTCACAGTTCTCTGATGCTGGACCTTCAGAAATGTGCTGGGCAGCTTTGAGGCTACCCTGCCCCCTGGCTCCCCTCTACAGGGAGAGCCTGGTTCTGTTGGCTTTCAGACCTGCAGGGACATCTGAGCTGCAGCCAGTGGCCTGGGAGGCATTTTGCACTCTTCCTCCTTCCTGCCCGGATGGTGCCAATCACTCCTCTGTGTAGGTGCCCGAGGCTAGAGGTGCAAAAGAGCCAGTCTGATCACTACCATATCCCTGTCCACCAATAGTCTCAGTTCCCTTGCATCAATTCCAAATGCTGGGCTGACTCCCACAGCCTCACAGGGACCTGCCTTCCTCTCCTTCCCCTCCTTCACGAGGCTCCACCCTCAGTCGTCACCATGCTGCCCTCTCGTAGAGGTTCTGCTGGACTCACAGTGAGGGGAGAGGATGTCCTTCCCCTACACAGGGACCAAAATGCCCAGACCACTCTGGTACATTTCTGTGCATTTCTACTTCAAGTCATGCCAAGCGGAGACAGGGTCGTGCTTGCCGCCGCTTTTCACTCAGCACGTCAGTGCTGTAATAGGTACCTTTCTAAAGGATCCGCCCCAAGAGCCCCGGGCTCAGGAGGAAACCCTCAACATCTGTCACTGTGGAAGCACTCAGTGCCACAGTCCTCCTGATAAAAACTCAAACCAGCAGAGCAATGACCCGCTGCTGCTTGAGCAGTCTGCCCCCCTCCACCCCAGGGCTGATCCCCCTCAGTGAGGTCAGGATGGCAGGTGCGGGAGGAGGGATGAGACTGAGTGGGGTCCCTTTGGGGAAAGCTTCATTGGTTGGTCTGGTCTCAGTCCTGCTCCTGCTGGCGCAGTTGAGTGGGGGAGTTAGAGAATATCCGAACAGCAGGCTCAGTTATTCCTGCCTCATTGCCCCATCTCGCTGGGGTCAGCCCTGTCTGGCTCCAGCAGCAGTGTGGGGCCTGCAGAGGTCCCCTCTGAACTTCCTGCCTGGCTTCCCCTCCCAGCACAGCTCCTGGGCCTTCTTCTTCATGGACACCTCACCCACACCTCTGGGCCTCCTTTGTGCCCGCCCCCCTTCCCCCCAGAGCTGTGTGGCTTTCAGCACAGTGCCCTCCCTCCCCCACTCGGGGTGTCCAGGGTCAGGGGGCACTTTGGGAAGGGCTACAGGAAAGTCATCTGTGGGAACGGCCATGTTGGGCTGGGGGGACTCATGATCTCAAATGACCATATAGGTAGTCAATGAAGCACAAGAAAGTCTGAGAACAGAAATGAGAAAACAGCTGTTTGGAGTGACAGAAATGAAGAGTATGGTAGGAGAAATAAAAATAATTCGATAGAAGAGTACAGCAGGTAGGGCATTTGCCTTGCACTTGGACAACCCGGGTTTGATTCCCAGCATCCCATATGGTGCCCTGAACATTGCCAGGAGTAACTCCTGAGTGCATGATCCAGGAGTAAGCCCTGTGCATCACAGGGTGTGGTGCAAAAAGAGAGAGAGAGAGAGAGAGAGAGAGAGAGAGAGAGAGAGAGAGAGAGAGAGAGAGAGAATAACAGCGGCTTGAGGACAAAAATCAGCGAGCTCCAAGATGAGATGCAGGAAGCCTATAGAAAACAATAGATGAGGGAAGGAACAATCTGGAAAAGGAAAGAATGAACCACACGCCAGAGAACTATGGGATGAGTCCAAGAGCTAGGCAGAGGCACACGGGCAGAGGACTTCTGCAAGCTCAGGTCCTTAGGGAAGATCCTAGAGTTCAGGGGTTGCAGTTCAGGCCTCACTGGGAAGCCAGGAGACTTGCCAAGAGCCCCAATGTACTGTCCTGGGGGTCCAGGGTGAACTTAATCAGCAGGTTCAATTATTCATGCCTCACTGCCCCATCTGGATGGTGTCAGCCCTACCTGGCACCAGCAGCAGTGTGGGGCCTGAGAGTGGGTGGGTAGAGCAACCCCTCTAGAGAGGGAGTTTTTGTTCATTGTCCTGTTCTGGGAGCCTGGTGAATGGATTGTGTAAGAGAGGGGGCTAGGATGCCTCCAAGAGTGGGGGTGTGGATCTCTGACATTTGCACACTTTCCTCATTGTGAGCACAGAGACCCCATCCTTATCCCCAGCCCCTTCAGCCAGTTCCCAGCACCCACTTTTGCCTCAAGGGTCTGCCTTCTTCCCGGCAGCAGGGTGCTACACTCTCACTGGCATCCTGGCAATTGACAAGAAGGACCTGACAGTGAACTTCTCCCTCGACCCATCACCTCCCACCTGCCATACAGCATTCATCTCCAGAAAGTCTGTGGGGCACCACACTGGCCCTCTTCTGCTTTTCTGGGTCAACCCGACATGCCTCCAGCTCCCTTGTCAACATGCTTCTCACTCAGCACGCAGTCACGGAGCACTGTCTCCGCAGGCCACAGGGGTGGGAGTCACCAGACCTGTTGGACGTGGTCACAAGGCTGTGCCCACATTACAGGGTTGATACCACAGAGAGGAGGGGCTGAAGCACAACATCCCAGAGCAGAGACTTGGACTAAGCCTGGTAGAGGGGGATGGAGGCGGGAGAGGAGGCATTCCCAGCATGCCTCTTGCACATGCTCCCTTGCTGCCCCCCAACATGGCCTGTTCACTCCTAGCACGCACCAATTGCTGGAGCTGGTCCCTGGCCAGAGCACTGTCTGTGTCCACCAGGTTCTGTCTGCTGAAACCTTACCCACATTCCAGGCCGAGCCACAGAGTCCAGCCATTGTGCCCCTCACCCCTTGGTCTCTGCATTTGGGCTTTGTATTCTGTTGGTGCTTTTCTTTCCCTCCAGTCTCTGCTCCTGTAACCTCCCTGAAGGGCTCCTTTGGCCATGGAATTAAAAGCTAACGAGCTTCGTTCTCAGCAGAAAGCGAAAAAGCAGAGTGTGGTGTGGACCGGAATGTTGATCGCCACGGCTTAGTTGTGGGCATGGTCTGGTGGTCTGGGGTGCTGATCATGTTTAGGTGATCTGGGACCTGGTGTTAAGGAAGACCCAGAGCACTAAAAGAATCAATTCAGAGACCCCCTTCTCTTCTCTCTGTCAATCTAGGGTTCGACGACCTTGAGGTGTGTGCGGATCCAGGCATCCCGGAGAATGGCATCCGCACTCCCAGTGCAGGGGTGTTCTTTGAAAGCTCTGTCACCCGGTTTCACTGCCAGGACGGATTCAAGCTGAAGGGATCAACCAAGAGACTGTGTATGAAACATCTCAATGGAAGCCTAGGCTGGATCCCAACTGAGAAGCCCATTTGTGTGCAAGAAGGTAAAGTGCTCACACCCCCTCCACCCCACCCTGCCCCATCTGATGTTGCTGGGTGGAGGCGGGGGGGGGGGGGGGGGGAGGGATGCGTACAGCCTCTGCCCAGGCTGTGTGTGCCCAAGGGGGACACCCAGGGCTGCTCTCGGTGCTCCAGGGACAACCCCCGCAGCTGAGGGAAATGCAACAGAGTGTGATAGAGGCTGAGGTCAGAGATCCCTGCAGCTCAGCTTTAGAAATCATTGTTTTCTCTCTCTGTCTCAATTACAGTCCACTTTATCACCATTTTTGTCAATGCAGGCAAGCAACTCCGGTGACGTTAGGGCTATTTATTTTGGGTCTGCGCACTCGGCACTCACTTCCATGATACTCAATAAAAAGTGCAGTAAATATTGGGCCCAAACTGTATTTTGATACCCAAGATCTATGCTTCTCAGGGGATCTAATCGATTGCTCCTTAACAGATCTGTGCTCAATGTGATTTCTTTAAGGAAAAACCAGTGCAGACAATGACAGATGGGAAAGGTAGACATTTATTTTTATCTATTACCCTTCTGCTTATTGGTCCTGACAAGATATTTGCCTCTAGCAATTATCCCCTAAATCTTTTTGGTTGAAATAATTTTATAGAGATGATTAATATATACATTTGTTTTTATTTTATGCGGATACATTTGGAGTTTAAAGGAATGCATTGAGGTTAACTAATTGGAATGCCAAATTGCTGATTATGTATCTCCCAGGATCAGCAAGACTAATGTGGAAATAGTCATGAATCAAGAAGTAATTCTATTCCCAAATTTTCATGAGGCATTGAACTTGTATTTCACTGGGTTTATTAAAAATGAGCTTCAGTTTATCTTAACACCATTATGGATTTATTTGGGAATGGAGATTTTATAAAAAGGTCATATAAACAATTATTCTGATTTAGTATATATCTACTTTATGAAGCATAATTTAATTTCATAAGCATATATTGGGGTCCTCTTTAGGGTTATTATAAAGGATGGGTAAGATGATGTCTTATCCTATTCTCTTTTTTATTTTCAAGATATTTTTTCAAACTCAAAATTACTGTAAAAAATTCAAGTTTACTAAATAAATTATTTTTTTTCATCTTTCATACCTGTGGCTCATGTCAGCTGGGGCTTTCAAGAGATTCCGTGAAGTTGGTTTGGTTTGTGTATATAGACTTTCCTCCTAATACCTATGGCCTGAAATTGTCTGACTTCTACCCCAGATAAGCTCAGGAAGGAACATCAGAGAACAGAGAAAACCAATTTTCTTCTTAAAAAAAAAACTTTTATTGCTGGGCAATTCTCTAAGCTTCTTGAGTATTTATTACTCAGCAATAAAAGGCCCTCTGTGGGGTTTGAGAAATAGTACAGTGGGTAGCACAGTTGCCTTTCATGCGACTGACCAGGCATCCCCTATGGTCCTGAGCACCATCAGGAATGTTCCCTAAGCCCAAAGCTAGGAGTCAGCCTTGAACACCTTCTGGATGTGCCTTCCCCTCCTCCCCAAACAAACAAAGGCCCTCTGTTATTTTACCATCCCGAGGGCAAGAAGGTTCATTTCCTTTTAGATAAACCTTTTTCTCACCCTGTGCCTAACTATATAATATCTAATACTGCCAAGAAAAGGACCGAGACCTCCAGAATGAGAGAGCAGTCTTATTGCACAGGACTATGCATGTGTAGCTCTCAGCAAGCTTTCAAACTCTCCACAGTCCAAAGTGTGCAGAGAGGACCGCACACGTGTGTGCATGTGTGGAGGATTGGGAAAGCTGTGATTTCATCATAAACTAGGAGTGGATGTTTCCACAAGAGAGTCTGAGACTCCCCACCTGCCAGTCCTGATGGTTGCTCTAGCGACCATTTCAGAAAGTTTGCAAGAACCTTTCTAAGTCTATTTCTTTTCATTCCCAGTAGCTATTTGGTACGTCTTTGGCAGGGCTGTATTGGAGAGCTTTGCTTGCTCAACATCCTTGTTGGGCAAGATAAAATCATCCTTGTTAATATCCTAAGTTTTTGTTCTGCGCAGTTTCAAGGTGGTGGGGGAGTGGTGGGATGTGCTTTGAAATCTCCACCAAAGAATTCATGACGTTTTCCTCACAGTGAAGAATCTTTCCTGCTCACGCGTAAATGGCTTTTACACTCCAATCAGGATTTGTGCCGGGCAAGTCAGCATGGCTGTTGAGTTCTTTTATGTCCCTTGTCAGGTAATCCATAGCAGTGATTATTGTTCCACACTAGTAAATGATCCCGTTTTGATTAAAGCTGAAGAGCACGTTGAGATTCACGGTGTCACTGAGTGGGCACAAGCACCCTGGAAGAGGTGTTTGTCTTCTACTCATCACCTGACTAGGAAACTGAGGCTCAGAACTCCTTCCTGGCCACAGAGGAGGCAGCTCTGGAATGAGTCTCTGGCATCTTTTCCTTCCCTCGTCATCTTTGTGGCACAAACCCCACACTCATCAGTTACACAGCAGCATGTGGCTACACACAATGGCCTTCACAAAAGGGACCGATAGAGGTCACAAATCCAAGCCCTTGGTTTGCAGTGAGTTTTCTGTGTGACCCACAAAGAAAATGCCTCGGAGCAGCCAGGAGCCTTCTTTGGGTTCAGTGGCAATTTAAGGACAGATCCGTTCTATCCTTTAGTCTTGCCACTGTCCCCTGAGCAACCCCAAGTCCTTCCTGTCATCAACCAGCGCTGTCTGGGTTGCAGCTTTTAAAGAGGGCAAGTCCACGGGTGTGAAAATACCTTCTGCCCCCACTGTGCCCTGCTGAAGCTTGGAGTGAGCCAGCCCCTCTCATTCTCTGCTCCATGCTGCTGCTGCATCAGCCCTCCCCTTTCTCCTGCGTCCGTTTGCTTCCACTCTACATTGAGGCGTCCTGGACTTAGAGAGAGTATAGGGGTTGAGGCCCTTGCCTTGATCACCAGCACCTTCTGTGGTTTCCTGAGCACTGTTAGGAATGGTCCCTCAGCACAGAGCCAGGAGTAAGCTCTAAGCACCACTGGGTATGGCCCCCAGGCAAACAACTAATATTTCAAAAGAAAATTGTGCTGTGCAAGTAACTCCATGCCTAGAGCTTGGGCCTTGGAGAACTGCTATCACCAGCCATACATGAACCTGTTGGCACCCAAAGCCTTGAGGCTGGGCATGCAGCGAGGGTGTCTCTCCTGCACGACTGCACTGCATGTGCCAGGGTGGCATGAAGAAGGTTTATGGTTCTGGCAGCGGGTGAAGAGGCCTTGGAGTCACCTTGGACTGACATGATTCCCTGTGGGCAAGGGGTCGTGAAGGAGTAAGCCAGTGACAAGGAAAGACCAGGGTGACAGTGACCATGGGGCCTCTGCCTTCCCAGGACCACCCCCTCGGACTGCTGAGGCCCTTTGCCTGGAGACTCTGTCCCTCTCCAGGTCAGGAAAGGCCGGGGTCATGTGGTGAATGAAGTGGGGTGATTCAAGTATCCTTTCCTTTACTGGGCGGGGTACATGCTGTTTTCTGGCAGACTCTCCTGGCGACCCTTCAGAAAGAACAAGGACCCGGGGCTTCAGTTGTCTCTGGCAGTGGAAGCCCAGGCCAAGGGACTCCTTAAGGCTCCCAAGGGTGTTTCCGTTTGCAGCCAGGCCCCCAACTCTCTGTCCTCTGTTTTAGTTTAAATTCAATTTGCTTTTATTCATTTATTTCTGAGGGCCTCCTGAGTGGCTCCAGAGACCCGAGGGGGGACCCTCTTTGCAATTCTTTGCCAGTCAGACTGGGGATTTGATACAAGGGGCCTCGGGTGTGGTGCTGGGTTCCAGGGGGTGCTCGGGATACCCAGACAAGACTGGGTGCCTCCAGAGCTGCACCTGGCGATGTTTTGGGGACCCTGTGACTATGGGCATTGAACTAGGGTCAGCCTCATGCAAGACATACGTCTTAAGCCCTGTAAATCTTTCCAGCCAACCTTTTGGTTGTATCTAAAGGTGGTAGAGAGCCCAGGAGAGTGACCTTGCCCCAGATGCTAGGCTTCTGTGCTTAACCCATTTTTTGCCTTACTTCCTCACAGAATACAGGAGCGAAATACATTCATTCATTCAGCAAGCATTATTTTTAGGTTCCTACTCAAATATTTTGACTTCCGGAGATCTGACAGAGATTGCTCTAAAAGATGAATAATTTGATGTCAGGAAGGTTCTTTGAGATTCCTGGAGAGAAAAATGTGCCTTGTGTGCTAAAGTATTAGTATTACATTATAAATTTTTAATTAAAAAATTCACCTTGACTCAAGCTAACGCTGGCTGTCAAGATGGCAGAAAACTCCTTGATTCATGGGAGCGGGGGTGCAGAAGTTTTCAAAAGAAGGGTGCTTGTACTCCTTTCTCAGTCAGTCAAGCTTTTGACTTTCAATTCCAGTGGCTTCAATGGAGCCAATGGCAGCTTTCAAAAGTTTCATTAAGAATCCTTTGCTTCAGGGGCTGGAGCGATAGTACACCAGGGAGGGCATTTGCCTTGCATGTGGCCAACCCAGGTTCCATCCCCATCATCCCGTATGGTTCCATGAGTACTGCAAGGAGTAATTCCTGAGTGCGGAGCCAGGAGTAACCCTGAGCATTGCTGAGTGTGACTCAAAGCCAAAAAAAAAAATCCTTTGTTTCTCTTGTTGCTTTTAATGTGAGTTCTGAGAAACAAAGGCAGAGTCTTCAAGAACTTCTCCATATTTCCACCTTGGAAAATGGACAGGACCAGAGGGATTCCTCTATCTCGAGGGTCACTGACATATCTTCTCTTGTTCCTTTTGTTTTGGACCACACTCAGTGGTATTCAGGGTTTACTCTTGACTCTACAGTTAGGAATCACTCCTGGCAGTGCTGGGGATCAAACCAGAGTCAGCTGCATGCAAGGTAAGGGCCTTACCACTGTACTACCCCTATGGCCCCCATTGGCATGACTTATGGAAGCCATTTTTTGGTTTTTGTTTTGTTTTTTTTAGGGGGGTTGTGCTATACCCATC